GGCATTTGTATAGTAGATTTAGGACTTTTTGATAATTATACCCTTGATATATAGCTGGTATTGATATAATTTGTCTCGTTACGAAAAGAAAAATGATTGAAAAAAAAAAGACTAACTAATGTGGAGACTAAAACATCTATATCAAATAATGTAAATTCACGAAAATCATCGAATCTCTTGTGTACCATAGTTAGAGGTGGCAAACTGGTGGATTGAGTTGGGTTTGGGTGGATCACAAATGGGTTCGACTCAAATCCACTCATTTACCCCACATTGACCCATTTATTTACTAAGTAATTTAAACAACTCAAACCCAATTCAACCGGATTTAACCCAAATCCACCCATATAACCCATGAAAAAAACAAATAAAAAGGCCTAACAATTCTTCAAAATTAAATAAACAAAAAAAATTTGCAAAATAAAATGAAAACCCTATTGTTCGAGCGACCCCCTTTTCCGACGGCAGCCCCTAACAGGATCGAAACTAGACATATCGCATATCTCAGGCTGCCACTGCCACTCGATCAGATCACGAGCTTTGGGCTCGACACTGGAAATGCAGTTCCATCCCTCAAATATCTCCTTGCAAGAGCAGCCGTACCTTGCCGATTTGAAGCTCGAATCATAGATCCAGGACTCGACGGAGAAATGGCAATGCTGGCCGGAGGCGGCAAAGTCGAACCAGGGCTTCTGCCGCAGTAGGACCTCCACTTCTTACGGCACCAGCTCCACCAGTTGCCTCCAAGGACGCCCATCTCATCTTACCCGCCCCGCCCTCGCCCTCGCCCCGTGCTAGGCAGCGTTGGTAGCGATGCTCCATCGTCGGTCGAGATCCTGAATTCGTCATCCCGTTGCTTCAGCAAGGCCCTGAACCAATCCTAGATCATCGGTGGGCAGGTGAGTGTTTGGGTTAGGGTTTCATCCCACCAAGGGGTGGTGAGGATCGTAGCGGAGCTCGCTCGCAGCATCAAACAAAGGTTTTAGAGAGAGAAGAAGAGAGAAGAAGGAACCGGGCTTTGAGTTAAATGGGTTGTGAATGGGCCTTGACTATACTCATTTAAGACGTATATATGTTGGCCTTAAAACCCATTACGACTCTTCTGCAAAATAATAAGTGACCCATTTATACAAACATGGGTTCATAAACAAATTCTGGACCAATTTTGACAGGTCCTGCCATAGTCAATCAAAGTTACGTTTCTCATCACGCATTAAACCGATAAATAGTAAATTTCCTAAACTCTAAGGTTCGAGCAAATGATTAAATCGTATTTGTCTCAATAGAAAAATTCAGCAAAAGTAGCATTCAATACGCTTGAAAATTGAGACCGGCAAGAATACGTCGCCGTCGACCACCCAGAAGGGACCAAATGTATTTAAAAGCTTCACCACACTCTCTCTCATTGATCATCTTCTTCTCTCTGAAACTTCTTAAATTTGATTTGACAATAGGTTTAATGTCCCGCTAGTGTAGTGAGAATTGGTAAGATGAAAAGCTTAGAACAGTTAAAGTTTCAAAACCGTCGAAGTGGTTGGACGATAAGAGTACAATGAATTGGATTATGATGGCTTTAACTCCCTCTCATCCACCCTCTCAAACTATAGGCACAACTTGTCTATCGGGACGGATACCGAATGGGTCCTGTCCAAATTGATATAGATAACATTGGATCATAGAACGAGTTTGAGACGCCATTACAACATGGGTTAGGATCCTATACAATTACAGAATTTATCTCCTAAATGACACAATTACCTCCATTTGTTGCGAAATTTACATAAAAATAATGATCTATGCTAGAAAGTTTAACGAAAAAGTTTAAGTTATTAAGTGGATGGTACATATGAATATAAATAGAAAATAATACCCGTTATCAAGTAATATGGGATAATATTTCAACACCTCCTCTTACGCGTTGTTTTTAAATTTTTAATTTGTTTAATGTGATTCATTAACTTTTAATATTGTTATTTCATTAATTCAACTTCATGGACAACATTAAATATTTTAATATAGTTCAAGGATTAAATTGAATATGTACAGAAAATTCAATAACCGAATTGAATAAATTTAAAGTTCATGGACCACATTGCATATTGGGGTTAAGTTTAAGGGCCACATTACATATTGAGTTAAAGTTTATAAATCATTTGTGTCATTATCATTTCTCTTAAGGCTCATCGTCTCTTTTGCGTTGTTGTACATCTTTGTCCATATGATGTTTACAATGAAGATCGCGAGTTCGCGACAACCGACACCAACCTTGCCAAGGAAAAGCGATAGATTCTTATTAAATGATGTACGGATGTATGTTTTGCAATGACGAAGTGAGCCTCGTTAAATGGCTTATTTGGGCTTGTAAATCATCACGAAGGATGCAAACAATCTTTTTTACCTGTACCTATAATATTGGGTTTGGAAAATCGAATATAATTTTTATGAAACATTTATGATTCTCATAGTAATTCTTCATTTACGATTCGTTTATTTCACGAAAAATTAATAATTTGAAAAATATTTCCCAAAAAACTATTGCTTATATTGCTCATAAAAACGAATGAACGAAAAATATTTTCATCATCCACAAAAATGTTTAGACACAAATTATTATCAATAATGAAAATATTTTTTATTGATTAAATATTTCAAGCATACAAGCGATCATTTTTTTCGAAAAATATTTTCTAAATCATTCATTTTCTACGAAACAAACGATGCTTTAAAGTAAGAGTATGCGCAAGGCATAGGGTCTTGTGTTGCACATTTGGACTGTAAAGCCAATCCGACTTTAAGTTCGATTTAGCTTTTGTACAATTCCTTCGATATATAATTTAGGTTAGATTTTATCTAATTGTCCTATGCGGAAATCATAGAATTACTCTAGCAAACTGGCAACTAAATTATTTGAAAATTTTCTATCATTATTTCGGCAAAGCAAAGAATGATTTCGATTTTCAAAAGAAATTTTAACACAGTGACAATTAAAACTATCGTAAAATTTATACTTAAACAACGGCGACCGACCGCAAAAATTGGAAGCCAAACCTCGAGTTGGTTGGCTCACCATGGACCGGACAAGGACAGGGTGTTCCGACTCATCTTTGGGCCACGGCGGGGTCGATTTGACTCACCTTAGGCTGAGCCTATCTAGGGCAAAGTCGGTTCAATTGGTATGTCGACACCAGATCAACCATCGGCAGGTTTTCATGTTGTCTTCCGAATAGCTCACAATATTCATCATGCTAACATTGCTAATAATCATGTATAAATCATGTATAATCATCATTAGAAAAAAAAATCATGTATAATCATCATTAGAAAAACCCAGAATTGGGATATGTTCACTAGAAGTCCTAAAACTTGTCATCAAAGTGCAATTGAATCCTAAAACTTGCAAAAAGTGTAATCAAATCTTAAAACTTGTTAAATTGATTCAAATGAGTCCTAAATTTAACATCGTCAAACTTACTAACGGAAAACACTGACGTGGATTATTTTAATATTTTCTCTCTCCCACGTGGCGGTGACGTGGCTAAAACGACGTCGTTTTGGCCAAAATTTGATTTTTTAATATTATTTTTATTTAAATTAAAATTTTTAAAAAAGATTTTTTCTTTTTAAAAAGGAAGGGGACAGGTAGGGAGGGAGGGCTTGCCCTCCTCGCTGCCGTCGCTGCCCCACCATCGCCCGGAGGGGCCGGCAAGGGTGGGGGGATGCCAGGCGAGGGGTCGCGGCCCTCTCCTAGATTGGGTAAGGGTCGCCAGTGGTAGCTGACCCCGGCCAGTGGCGGCGCTCCCCCAGATCTGGCGGGGGTCGGCCGCCATTGGCGACCCTCGGCCAGGTCTGGGCAAGGGCCAGCGACCCTCGCCTGATCTGGGGGAGGGCCTGCAGGCCCTCGCCTGCCTTTGGCGAGGGTCGCCAGGGCTCGGCGGCGGCGGCGGGGAGGGCAAGCCCTCCCTCCCCGATTGTCCTCCTCCTCGTGTGTTTTTTTTTTTAAAGCTTTTTTTAAAATTTAATTTAAATAAAATTAATATTAAAATAATGAAAAGAAAAGCTACGTCATTGCCACGTAGGATATAAAAAATAATAATAAAAGTCACATCAGTATTTTTCATTAGTCAAATTGGACGGTATTAACTTTAGGACTCGATTGAATTAATTTGATAAGTTTTAGAATTTAATTGTACTTTTTATAAGTTTTAGGACTCAATTATATTTTGGTGATAAATCTTAGAATATCTAGTGAACATATCCCCAAAATTTACAAATCAAGCATAGATAACGTGGGTCACACTGACCGAACTTGGCAGTTGACTCACTTCAGTGCTGTCCCTTCGCAATTATGACATGGAACTCCACAAATAGTTGCTCTCCTTGTTATTCACTTATATGAACATTCCGAGGAATTCTTCTTTAATCTTCCTGTGTCAGAAATACCACAAAGTCATAATGATCTCATCCTTATCTAGACGTCTCCTACCCAATTCGCCCCTCACTTCGTGCCAAACAACCCGCAATAATTCCAGATGATCTAGTCACATATGACATATAAGTATATCCATGAATATATTATATACTCATCGTCGATCATGTTGTTTACGCTCTCTCATTAACCATCAAATTAAAGGCGGATAAAACCGTTTTATAAAGTGGTTGTGCATTTTATAATTTTATCATTTTTGTAACATCTAGATCACTCAAATATTCATAAGAAAGACAATTTTCCACCCAACAAGAAACAAAATCCAGGAAACTTAGGGGAAAGAGAGCATTTCTTGCCACCTCGGTTCTCCAACCGTGCATAAAAACCAATGTTCCGCCATGAATTAAGCGGCTTTAATCTTGATGCACCTACCGATGCTTATCCCTAATTAATTCCTCTATTCACCTTCTTGATTCTTCCATTTTCTCCTCCCAAATATAGTTTTTGGGGCCCAGCTCCAACCTCTCCATTAATTTCTCTGATTTGCAGTTCAGTTGTATAAATAAGCGATCCAGCTGAGTACATAGGCAAGAGGTTGCATCGCATAACATCAGACGATGACCGCAAGAACACTCATTTACTCCGCAATGGAGTGGCTCCGATCCCATGCACATCACGTATCTCTTTGGGACGTGGCCATCGCTTTCTTGGGCTACTTCGTATTCTCGTGCATCGCCGAGAGGCTGAGGAACAAGAACGGCCCGATGCTGTGGCCGGTCCTCGGGATCGTCCCGTCTCTTCCGTTCTCCCAGGACGAGCTCTACAACTGGCTGACCAGGGCCCTGGTGAAAGCCGGGGGCACGTTCTGGTACCGCGGCGTGGCCTTGGGTGGCCTCCGGGGGATCATCACGGTCGACCCCGCCAACCTCGAGCACATGCTCCGGACCCGGTTCAGTAATTACCCAAAGGGCAAGTATTTCCGGGAGAGGTTCCGCGAATTGCTCGGCGGCGGGATCTTCAACGCGGACGATGCTGAATGGAAGGAGCAGCGGCGGCTTGCTACTTCAGAGATGCACTCCCCGCACTTCGTGCGGCACTCGTACGACACCATGCGGGAGCTCGTCCACCACAAGCTCCTCAAGCTTCTAGAGGCAAGGGCCGCCGCCCCAGGAAATGATAAGCCGCCGCTTGAACTCCAGGACGTACTCCTCCGTTTCACGTTCGACAACATCTGCACCGCCGCCTTCGGTGTTGACCCGGGCTGCCTGACCGTTGATCTGCCCGAGGTGCCGTTTGCTAAGGCGTTCGAGGAGGCCACCGAGCTAACGCTGTTCAGGTTGAGGACGTATCTTATATTGCAGTTGAATCACTTTGTGATTGATTTAGACCTGTCACTTGAAAAATACATAATATGTTTAACGTAAAACATTGTCATTTCAAAAAGCGGCTATCGCTTTATTTCTCCATAAAGTAACTGACACAAAAAGTATTCTCTGTTTAGGTTCTTGGTACCCCCTTTCGTGTGGAAGCCCATGAGGTATCTCTCGCTTGGGAGCGAGAGGAGGCTCAAGGAAGCTCTAAAAATCGTACACGAGTTTGCCGACAAGACGGTGTCGGACCGCTGGATGGAGCTGAGCAAGCTTGGGAGCTTGAGTGACCGGTCCGACCTCCTGTCCCTGCTCATGAAGGACAAGAACCACAACTTCTCCGACAAGTTCCTCAGGGATTTCTGTGTGAGCTTCATCTTAGCCGGCCGCGACACGAGCTCCGTTGCGTTGGTGTGGTTCTTCTGGTTGATAGACAAGCACCCGGAAGTAGAAGCTAAAGTCCTCAGCGAGATCCATCAGATTATTGTACGGAGACGCCCTCCGGTGGGTCCGGAAGCGCATCAGGACGTGGTATTCACACCGGAGGAGTTGATGGACATGGTGTATTTGCAGGCCGCACTATCAGAGTCCCTGAGGCTGTACCCGGCAGTCCCAATGGAGTTGAAGGAGGTCCTAGACGATGACGTGCTTCCCAACGGCACCGAGCTGAAGCGGGGTGACCGAGTCATGTACTGCCTATTCTCGATGGCCCGTATGGAGTCGCTGTGGGGGAGGGATTGCGAGGAGTTCAGGCCGGAGAGGTGGTTGAGGGAGGACGGGCAGCGGATGGTGAGCGAGAGCCAGTTCAAGTACGCGGTGTTCAATGCCGGCCCGAGGCTGTGCGTGGGGAAGAAGTTTGCGTACATGCAGATGAAGATGGTCGCGGCATCAGTGCTGTGGAGGTATTCAGTGGTGGTGGCAGAGGGCCACAAGGCGGTGCCCAAGGTCACCACCACCCTCTACATGAAGCACGGGCTGCCGGTGACTCTCCGGCCGAGGGTGGCCAGGAAGTTCTGAGTAACGATTCCGGTGTGTGCTCGTGGCGTTGAAGGGTAAATCTAGTAGAGGCCAGAGTTGGTGATGAGGGCTGTATTCGGTATATAGCAGCTCAAAGACATGCATGAAGAAACACTCCTCAACTCATGGTTCGCTGATTACTATCTGCTCATGTCGTAAAAATAGTAAAAGGAGTTGGCAAACTAATCTTTCAAGAAGTGGTTGTGTTTTGTGTATGTATGGTGTGTCATGATATATATATTACATGATTGTTTGTTCTATCGATAATTTATGGGAAACAAATCTGTGCATGTGCATCTAACATAAAGATCACAACTTATACGTATGACTACTCTAACAATTCTTATATAAATACATTATTCCGCTGACGATAGACATAATAAAAGTCCAAATCACATCCTTGGCTATCTCAAAATGAAGTAGAACACGAGGATATTATGTGATGTATTATATATTTTGAAGGAAGATCCTTTACCCCGCACAATAATTTTCTTGATATCTTAATCAATTCTCAACCATAATTGCACCAAAATTTATATCGGTGGTTGAGAAAGGATGAGCCACCCATGGGAGTTCCATGTGAAGCAAAGGATCTACGTCAATGAATTTTAGCCCTGTCGAAATTCATTATAGAGGTACTTAATATCGATAGTTGAGAGTCCTTTAACCCACATGGTTACCCTATTGGTGTGTCGATATATCTCGCAACTGCTCATTTACCTGCATCAAAGTTGAGAATCAATTGAGACATTAGTATAGGAAAATAATGTGTTCTATAACAAATTTTGGGTCGTTTTGAAGAATATAAAGGAGGTAGATTTGTGCCTATAATTAATGTTACCTAGGTTACTTTGGGTTTGTTAAGTTTGATACACGAGTTAATTAGACCTACCTAAACTGAACCATAAAGACGACTCAATTAATTAAGAATATCATCACTTTTAGATTAGTGTAGGAGAGCAGTTGAGATGACGGACAAATTAAGTACATTTTTTTTTTATCACATATCACCAAACATCGTTGCAAACAGCCAACTTCATCTTCTCTCATTTTCTTCTTTCAAATTTTTGAACAAATGTTCTCTGAAATTATTCAAAATAGTGTAAGATGTCCATTTCGTATTTGCTTTTTAGAAAAGAATTCATATAATGGAAAAAAGAGGAAAACAATGGCAAGTATGTATGTCGTCATTCAAGTAAATTTATTAAAAAAAAAATTTAAATAAGGACCCGAAGTGGGTTTGTTTTTTCAAAAGGGTTCCAAGTGAACCTTGCCTCAAATTAAAACTTGAAATGGTCGCTTAGTCTCAAACAAATGTTTGAAATGGTCAATTAGTCTCAAATAAGGGCACGAGCGAGGATATGCATCTCACATGTCACTTTCCAAAGGCATGATGGGGCATTTTTCGGGTTTTTCTGTTTTCTTTTTTCTCTTCGTTTTTTCTCTTTTGTCTTCTTTTTCGTTCATTGTTCTTCTCTGCTCATTTTTTTTTTTTTTACCATGGCCGGCGAGGGTCACCGGAGTTCCCCGACCGTTGGCGAGGGTTGCAGCCATCGCCTGGCCTCGTTCGTGGCTAGTGAGGTTGGCCTTGCCCAGACCATTGCGACTTCTCGCCCTCGGTCATCTCCATTTCCGCAACCAATCTCCCATGTTAGAGCTCACTCAGCTACTCCTCTAAATTCGCAGACGCTCTCTCTCTTTAAATCGAGCTCACCTTTTGCAGTTACATTGAGTTTTGGGGGCAAAATTGACTCCCGCTCGTCTAGCTATGGTGGAAACCCTAGGCCTTGCCAGATTAAACCACCACAGGCTTCATTTCAGACGCTGGATGCAGACATTCGTGTCCTCGCACAAGATGCTCCTCTCCGTGGTGTGGATCGCCGCCTTCGCATTCATGTTATTGTGGAAGCGCAACTCCGACGGCACCGGAGGATTCTCGATATCCGGTGGTAGTCATCGGAGGCCAGCCGGATCTAGGCGAGGCAAGTCTCGCCGGCCGAGGGTGAGGAGCCGCGATGTCCTGGGCAACGCCAGCCTCGCCCGCGACCACAATGGCCACGAGGCTAGGCTAGGGCCGCAAAGCACTCGCCCAATGTCCGGTGAACTCCGGTGAGCTCCGGCGACCCATGCCGGCATAGTTTAAAAAAAAAAAAAGAGAAAAGGAAGGAAAAGAAAGATGCCACAAGAAGAAGATGAATAGGAAAGAAAAAGAATGAAAAAAGAACGAAAGAAAGAAAACAGAAAAACTTGAAAATGTCCCCATCATGCCTTTGGTAAGTGGCATGGCATTTGAGATGCCCATGCCCATTCAGACTTAGGGTGCATTTGTTTTATTGAAAGCTTCACGATGAATGATAATATTTTTCGTGAAAATCATTTTAAAGGAAAATGGTTAGTTTTTTAATTTCCTCCATTGCCAAAATGGGAAATTGTTTTTCCCAAATCTAACCTTTTTATTTTCAGTTCATGGAAAAAGTTTTCCATACATCTATTAGATTTTGTCATCTAAACACCGTAAAGTTACAAAATAATTTTCCTGAAACAGTTTTCCTTCAATTTGCATATGAACTAAATCTATTCTTGGATACAAAACCTTCTATGCGTCACTGGATAAACTCGGCTTGTGATCGGAATTAGTTCTTCACACTGTCAATGTGCAGAATAAAGTCCTGAAAGATTTGGCACTCTACTCGTCAGATCGCTCATTCATTTGCACCTAAAACTGCCAGAATTCTGTGAGGTTCAAAGCTTCCTTTTCTGCTATATTAAGTAGAAAACAATGAATCCTGGCAAACTAAGAGCTCCTAGAAAAAGAAAGAGGAAAGGGTCACCGCCTTGTCGGCGTTGAACGCGTTGTGTTTACCAACTTGAACCACTGGCTTGCCGGGTCACAGGTAGCATCTTCTCTCAAGCATTTGCAAGGACTTGTGATGATGGTCTTAGTGCTGAAGTCTATGTCCAAGCAAACGGTGACATTACTACCGGCAATGTTGGAGGAAAAATGCATTTTGGACTCCGAAACGGTCTTCCATTTAGACCCGTGGTCAGCGCAGTTCGTGCCGAGTTTCACAGGCTTCTCCAGCTGATCCGCTTGCATACACATATCCGTTCCTCTCATCCGGACCGTGTGGCCACGCGTGTGGGTCCAAGGTTCGGACTCATCGCACGCGCCCAGTTGCAGTTGTCCCTGTTCTTGTTTCCTTTGGATGCAGAGACCCGTGAGCGGATGAAAAAGAATTCTGTGTGTAGGCTTTGATGAATATGCACCTGCGACGTTATGGATATAAGAAAGATGGATATGTAGAAACAACGTGATTTACGACATGATCGAAGTGTCAATTAGTCGAGTTCCATTTGAAGAGGGATTGTGTTTGATTTGATCTCTCGGATTTCAATAGATATCATCACTGAGAAAATCTCGGGTTTTTGTAGGGGAGGATGGATTATCTCGTGCCTGAACTGTGATTGCTGATAATTCATTGATGTAACAAAATGATGGAACCATCTAAAGTAGCTGAACAAAATTAGGAATGTGTAGTGTTACTATACCTTGAAAAGGGGCTTGAAGGGCAGAGATCCTTTGCAAGAAGCTAGCATTTCTAGGCCCAGAGAAGTCCTTGTTCAGCACCCCAAACGTCTCGTCCATCCCTACGATCCCTTTTCTCAAGTAATAGCTGCCCACGATCGTCCACAAGGCCCAATCGAAATCGAGCTTGGCCGCGACTCCGAAGAAGCAATTGAAGTACCGATCGTCGTTCACATTTTGACCGCTCAGTTCTCCTCCAAATTCGCTCACGAAGAGCGGCATTCCCTGGTTTAGTATGAACCCCGCCTTGCTCATCACCTTGTTCGTCGCATCCTTGCACAGCTCGTTGGCATTGCCGTCCTTCCATATTGTCCCGCTTGAGGATGCATACCAATGCAGCTCGAAGACTAGCTTTCTGGTGAAGCTCACCTTCATTGGTATGTGGCCAAGGAACCACAGGTTAGTGTCATAATAGAGGCCGGAGACTATGACAAGCACGTGCGGGTTTGCCGAATGCACCACCTCAGCTCCTCTCTCCATGTACCTGGAGTTCATTTTAGGACCGAAATCTAACGTCAAATGGGACGATCATATTAGGTTGAATACCTCTCGGTGATCCAAAACCCTAACATGATTAGTCGAGGTAGTTTATCAACTTATCCCTTAGATTTCTCATATTTTGCCACATTTTGCATCGCTCAACATGTGTTCTTCAACTGAATAATAACCTACTGTAATAGCAACAGAGTCAGTTCAGAAGAAAACATTTTTCGTACTAAAGCTAAATCCACAAAATTTCCTAAAAATTTACATCGAGTACCTGAACCAGTCTTGCAAATTTTCTTTAGGACCACGGAGCTCATTCCTCAAGCTCATACCGACCACGTTACCGACGCGGTGGAACATTGTGGCCATCCGAGCGAGGCCCTTAATCCAAAGGTTCGGGTCGAAGTAGTGGTCACCGAAGAATCCGTTACCGTCAAGGTTGCCACAACACCAACCGGGCTTGCTAATGTGATTGTCTAGTATAACCATCACATTATTGTCTCCCAGGCTCGAAACAACCGCCTGTAACAAGTAGACGAATTTAATTCACTGACCGGTGTTGAGCAATTATGACAAATTGCGAAAATGTGAAGTGCAAATTTTACCCTGAAAGCAGAAAGAAGAGAAACATCCAGAAGAGACGGATTGTTCTGCCGAATGCCTCCAATATAATCAACCAACCCAAGATTCCGGAACGACTGCGCCACTGACATCGAACCCAGCGAGTCGTTGGTGACCATGAAGAGCGGCCACGTGAGCCTAACGCAGTTGAATCCCATCGAGGCGATCTGCTTCGAAATCCAGTCGATGGGTTTCTTGTCGAGCCCTTCCGCGACCATGGGCTCGAGGTGCGCCGCCCAGTTGACGCACGCCAGCTTCACCCTATGCCCATGTTTATCGACGATCCACCTCGAATCGGTGTGAAGACGCCACAAAGACTTTGCGGGCTCGGCATGTCGGGAGGCCATCAGAGCCCAGAGAGCGACGAAACACAAGTAGGAGGGACGTCTCATGGTGGTAGCAAGATTTCTCTATCGGATGATTGCTTTCTAACTAGTGAGAATTCAACTGACGTACTTATACAGCAGAAACAAGCAAAGTCATGATGCGAAAGAGAGAGAGAGAGAACCAAGAATAGGTGACGGAGCTAAAGCAGTGCATGAAACCAAGTGAATTTTCTTGAAAACGTGCTTTGAAATTGTTCAGATATCCGCTTACCGGTATTGATTTGTAAACATGATACATATATTTAAAAGCTCACTTGCAGTCTAACGCATTATTCGGTAAAATTTGCACTGCTCGATTGCCATAACACCTACAAGGGACTGCGTCAAGGGCTGGAAAAATCGGATCAAAGGTTGAAACGGAAGAAGAGAAACCAAGTCTCAAACGACCTTTGCGGTAACAAAGTCAATGTTAAGTTTCATACATAAGAACGACAAAATCAAAGGTCGCTGACAGCCATGAATTTGACATTCTCTAAACATAGAGGTCAAGGTCGCACAAAGCACGTTTTGCGCCTCAAAACCACCGCGTATTTACTCCGAAAAAAAAAGAGAGAAGAAAAGTAGCGAGACAAAACTCCCACTGTGGAGGAAAAAATTACCAAATCATTCCTAAATCTATTGTATGGTCAGTTATAAACTATTCAATTTCGATAATGAATCATTAACCTTTCAGCGAAAATTCCAATGTAGTTCTTTTAGCCATTTGTCGCCAGAAATTGCGGACGTGGCGTTCGGCATCGCTGCCGTCCTACATGGCACTCTGACTTGGATAACTTTATTAAAAAACGACGTCTAACTAGATCTTCACTTCGGCGATTTTCAGCAGCAATTGACTGGAATGACTACGTTAGAATCTCGTGTAAAGATTTAAGACTAAATTTAGGACTGAATTAACATATGTACAATATGTCTGAAACTAAATTGTTAATTTGCCCTTGCTCGAGTCTAAGATTATATTTATTATATTATTTAAAATGTCAAGGCAAATTTTTCCAAGAAAAATATAGTAATACATTAAAAATTATAACAAAATAAGTATTCACATCAATTAAATTCTTTGTTAGAATTTACATAGAATTTCATTTAAAGTGACAAACCTCATCACGTAGGTTTTACCCCTGGTTAAGCACATGAGGCATAAAATGGCAATATCTATTTTAAAATATAAGCATACACAATACTTCAAAAACGTAAAATAATATGAATCAATGAGAAACATTAAAGCATTGTTGAAATCTTTAACTTTTTGCCCTGGACTTGGCGTGGAGAAAACGAGCATGTTTCTTGTGTAGAATTTTCTTGATAATAAAATAGTTTCTGTTCTCTCCTCCATATGCTCCACTCCGTGTATAGAGACTTGGAGGTGATTTCTTCAAAATCATCTTTCAATTCGACATATTTTAGTTACAAAAAAGAAGAAGAAGAAGTCCAACGTGGACAATGACGTGGCTTTTCTATACCTTAACGATGCCGTATCCTCTTCAAATTGAATCTCTCTCAAAATAAAGCTTTGAATCATAAATTATAAGCCCGTGTGATGCACGGGTAAGAATTACCACACGCCCCCAGCAAGCATCCACAAAGGCCCAATCCAAATTAACTTAAAGAGCTAAATCGATTCGATCCCAAAGCGTGAGAAGGATCAAATCGAATTAAAAAAAATTGAAGATCAAGGACCAAATTGAGAGAACAAGACTATTCACGACCTTGCCCAATAGCTTGGAGTGCTCATATAATCTGCCGTCGCTACTTAAATTATGCCATGGCCTTTTCCACTGTTCATGGAAGTATCTCTTCACTAATATTCAGATTCTCCCCTACCAGTTGCTTTAGACTTTTCTCTTCCACTTGTTGCTCAGATTCTAATGGATCGACTTACATTCCTCAAAACATGTAAGCACGGGTCTCGATTACATGGAGCATGTTCAATTAACTTTGTCCTTTTGGCCTTTTCTTGCTCTGTGTTTTGCGAAAACCATGCTAATCAGTGGGCTTTCGACCATAGATTTAGACCCTCTCGACTCCAGAAGAGTTGGTTGATGCACCTTTGCCCTGAACTTGTGTACTTTTTTATTTTTTTTCGAAACTAGACCCTGAAAATTTAATTCGTGCAATTCAGTCCTTAAACTTGTGTAAATTTTCTAAATCAAATTCCTCCGGCACCAATTCCTGTTGGTTCGAGTTGACATGGCTGTTGAATCGCGCGGGAGTATGATGTGGAGAAAAAATTTGCCTTCAAGGACAAGCTACCATGGAAAATGACAGGCAATGCGATACTTCCCTCCGTGGACAAGCGATCGTGCAAAACTTTGCCTCGTTGCATCGACAAGCCATCACGGAATTTTTTTTTTCTATGTCATCCTCTAACATTGTCCAATTGCCACACCAGTTCGGATAACTTGGATTAATTGGTGACGGAAAAACATGATTAGAAAATTTACTTAAGTTCAAGTATTTGTTTAAGTAAATTAAATCTTCGAGGACTTGATTAAAAAAAAATGCGAAGTTCGGAAACGAAACGTTGAATTTTATTTTAGCAACGGAGGTATGGTACTTTTGCTGCGCTTTCCCAACTTGGGTGCGTAAGTTCCTCATCATATTCTTACTACTCAGGCAACTCCTTGGATTCATTCTAGAGGAGTCTCAACGTGGTCTCAGTGCAACTACTGGTCTAAACTACTATATATCTAGGAATCTCCCTAGATCAGTGTCTAGAGAGGACAAACTAAGTCCATGACTAGCATAGGAAAAACTCTATATGTTTAATTCTGAATGGGACAACCTCAAGTCACTATCCAACTCCCACCAACCAGCAGTTTCTCTAAAAAATTTTCAAGGTCCACATAAAGCGGGAACCACCACATACACTACACAAATAGAACAAAAAGAAAAGAAAACCAACCAAATTCTATACTTCTTTTAACCAAGTTTGGAAATTGTTTCTTTCAGAGCCGGGTTCTGTCAACCAGCTTGAACCACTGGCTCGCCGGATCGCAGGAGCTTTCGCTGCTCAAGCACTTGCAGGCCGTGACCACCACGGTGTTGCGAGGGTCCACGTCCAAGCAAACGGTGCTTCCATCTTTGGCCTTGGACGACAGGTGCATCTTGGAGGCCGATATCATCTCCCATTTCGTGCTGGTGTCTGTTGGGCTCATCGTGCCCAGGATCGCCGGCCTCCCCAGCTCGACGGCTTGCAAGTACAGATGTGCCCCCACGAGCCACAGCGCGTCCTGTGGCGTGTAACTCCACGGCTCCGAGTATATGCATGGACCCACCACGAGTGGCAACGACGGTGATCGCCTCAATATGCATAGGCCAGTCAAGGGGTGGAATATGACCTTGTGAGCACCTGTTTGTTGCCCTCCTGGTCCTGCAACAGAAGAAGATTTTGAGAAATTAGAAGCCCGAGAAAAAAAAATGAATATGGTGTTAGCACGATTGGAAAAAATTTATTCAGTCCATCGTCGGTGGAAACACGATGTCGCTCACATAGCTAGGAACGGTACTATTATTGTTAGCCCATAAATTTTGTCGCTAATATGGTCAGTTTTTCAGTCCGGCACTAGTGAAAATGTGAAACCCTTTTCAATATAGAATCGTTAATGAAGAAAGCCAACATGAGATTTACCAAGCCAGTATTTGATGGCCCGTAGGGAATTCTGGCATACATTGAAGCAATCACCGTCATCGAATTCGACTGAACTCCCATATGAATCCCAAAGGATTTCTTGATTATGTGGTGGCTCAATTTGTCGGACTCGACTCATGTATATAAGTACTTGGTAGTTGAAAGATTTATACCTTGGAAGGGTAATTGCAGGACCGACATTCTATGTAGGTAGCTCGAGTTTCGAATGCCGGACCATTCATAGTTGAACAATCCGTAGAACTCCTCCATCCCTACCACTCCTTGCCTCAAGTAGTAACTCCCTTGAAGGGTCCACAATGCAAAGTCCCAGTCGAATTCAGCGGCCATGGCCATGAAGCAATTGAAGTACCTATTATCATTTACATTGGTTCCTCTTTCATCGGCACCGAACTCGCTCACAAACAAAGGATATCCTTGCTCCAGCAAGAATACGGACCGACTCATTACGTTGTTTGACACTGCTCCACACACATCATTCGGGTTTCCGGATTGCCATGCGTTGCCGTTGGTGAACCCGTACCAGTGCATCTCGAAAACCAGTTTCTTCGTGAAAGAGATGTTGACCGGTCTGTTCCGGATAAACGAAAGGTCTATGTCGTAATTGAGGCCGGAGAGGATGACGAGGACATTAGGGTTTGCCGCGTGCACGGTTTCCGCACCTTGTTGCATATACCTACACATAGCACCCCATCGAATCAAAACTGATGCAGTATTAGCAGTTGTTATTGTACGTCGTAAGATTTATGAGCACATTGACTTCTTACCAACCAATGCCAATCAAATAGGTTTCTGAAAAATCACTTCCAATTTGAACATATAAATTACGAGTGATGCAACATACTTGTACCAATCATCCACATTTTGTCTAGGACCACGAAGCTCGTTCCTTAAGCTCATGCCAATCACATTGCTAAAACCAGTAGCCAATGTCGCCATCTTATGCAAACCTTGCATCCAAACTTGTGGGTCGAAGTACTTATCACCGAAAAAGCCATTGCCGTCGTTTGCACTGCAACACCAACCCGGCGTGGTTATATGATTGTCGAGTATCACCATCACTTTGTTGTTTCTAAGGCTTGTCATCACAGACTGAAACAAGAGATTTCAGAAAAGGACATACATTAATACATAATGCCCTTGATAGTAATGAATGTAATTCCTAGTACCATAATAAAAATTCGACAATCCCTTCCCCGGATCCTAGTGCTGTTGTATTACTTATGATAAGACTTAGTTCTAGCGATTATTACTCATCGTGTACCACAGTAAAAATTTCATATCTATAGGAGGCAAATTGAGCAATGTGTTTGTCCTTACAATTAGAAGAGACAAAAACTAATGTTACCTTGTAGGCTTCCATTACAGGAAGATTAATAAGGGAAGGGTTGTTGGACTTAATGCCGGCAAGAGATTCCGACAATCCGAGATTCTGGAACGATTGGGTCACGGTAAGAGAAGCAAGTGTCTCATTCATAGGCAATTCGAGTGGCCATGTGAGCCTCACGCAATTGAACCCCATTTCTCTAATCTTCTTGGCAATCGTGTCGGCCGGTTGCTTGCTCAGCCCCTCGGCCAGCAGCGGCTGGAGGTGCGCCGGCCAGTTAACGCACGCGAGCTTTGCCCGTCTCCCGGCACCGTCGACGATCCACCGGGAATCGGCGTAGAGTTGTTGAGCAACCGCAGGCTTGAGTTGGGCCATGGAAAAGAAGAGAATTGTCAAAACTAGGAGAAGGAACTGCAGCTTTGGAAGCGTTTCCATGATGGGTGTCTTTGCTCTCTTTGAACCTTCCTTACAAAGAAAAAAGAAAAGAGTGTGCATCATGTGCATGAAGTCTGTTCAATGTCAAGTTGTGCTTATATAGAGGGTGTCATTCATCCACTTGGCCAGTAGTCATGAATGCAGTATAAACCGTATGGAATAGAGTCGAGACAAAAAGTTTTCGAGAATCGAAAACTCGAGGGTCGTACCATATCTTGAAAGAAGATGCGCTATTCATTTGGTATAATAACGAGTAACAACTATCAAACATGGAGGGAAGGAAGTTAGGAAAACTTCGAAATATTTTTGAAGGAGAGAAATCATAGGGTGGGATGGAGTTTGATAGTTGGTTTGGTTAACTGTTTATATCCAGATTTTCACAGTTTCGATTTAAAATATTAAATGTTTTTTTTCTTCCGAGTCTCATTAATAGTGCCCTTGAAGAACTTGTTAGGTATATTATTTAGAATAACTTAATTTTTAAAACATTAAGTGTGCATAACAAGAGCACAATTGATGCATCGAAAACTACAAAGTGTCCCTAAGACACTCGTTGATAGAATTTTTTTTTTTAAAGCAAAGAGCGGACAAATGAACGATAAATATTGACAATTTGAGATATAGGAGTCTCACGTTCGTTACATGTGCTCCGTTTGAGGCATAAACATTTTCCAGAAGTATGAGCTCGTTGCCGCAGCCCATTGTAGTGCAATGCTAGAATATAAATGTTAGATATATTAGGTTGGGTGATCTTAGTACCATCTTCATCTAAACAAGTCACGTCCACGCCAGAAGTATGAACGGGGATGCTCCACATCAAAATCATACCATTAGCATTTCCTAATAAGTAACTTGCAAGAATGAAACATGTGAACCCTCAAACCAAACTCAAATATTTCGTACAAAAATGTGACTTCAGTTTCAACAAAAGTGAAGATATTGCACTCGGTATAAAGACCATGATTTTGAGTAGTTAAATAAAATATCTATTTTTAGGTATTTTGCATTTTTTAAGACTCTGGTACACATAGTGTGATTTCACTCTGAAGATTAAAGACCAGTTGTGTGATTTTATACCTTTTTCAATTGGTCAAAACATACGACCAAAAACAAAATTTGGTCAAAATACTTCAATGAACGCTTCCTGTTTGTCAAATGCAATTAATAGCTCCGTCAATTGCGGGGCCAATTGCTTAACTGCACACAATAAATGTACTGGAAAAATGGAAAACACAAGCAACCCTTTCGCCCCTATGTAGTAATTAGTGTGATTTGAAGTCAAATTGATTTCACTATTTTTAATGCATCTTAATTGACTGACGGCATCTTATGATTTCAAGGATGATTAAAGTGTATTGTCTACATATGGAAGTATGATTAAGGATCATTAATTTGAACGTGGGACTCTGTAAAGTTATGCAAATCATATTAAACAGAAGGCCTCCAAGCGCCAGTCAATATCAGTCAACACAGGCCGAGTACTTTCTGGATCACTTTCAGATCAGAAAAATACATATTTGCCTGCCTTTTATAGGAATTTTGGGATTTCTAGGACCTCAGTTATTATAAGCAAAAATGGAACTTATGAGTCTCAAGCCAATTATAGAAACTTGGAAAGTGCTCGGTATGATTTGGCTCGACTTGCCTAGACTTTCCTCTTTCATGTTTTCAATCTACAGGAAAGTGTTCCTAGCCAAAAAGGGAAAAAAGATATGTTTTATAGGAGAGTCTTGTTTTTCTTTTTAAGCGTTATGGCCAGGCAATACTAGGCCCCATTTGTTTTGCAAAAATGAATAATTCGGATAATATTTTTCTAAAAATGAACGTTTATATCATTTATAAAAATGAATAAACGGAATTTTTTTTATTGTCCCCAAAAATATTTAGACATAAATTATTGTCAATAATAAAATATTTTTCATTCATTAATTATTTTAAGCGATACAAAAAATCATTTTTAGGAAAATATTTTTCAAATCTTACATTTTCTACGAAATAAACCAAGCCTAATAGCATGAGCCTGTTATCAAGCAAGCAACAGACTAAGTCCACCAATGCGATCAAAGGCAAGCCATGCATATCGGATATTGCAATTAGTTAGTCAATTATGGTCGCATATTCTCAAGAAATCGAGTCAAATTAAGAACTTAGCGTGTGAGACCTTGTGCCTTTTGACGTGTTGAAGTACACGTGTTAGGGTGTTAGACAAAAAAATGATATATGGAAAATTTCTACTTTTTGTCCCTGAACTTATGCACTTTTTCCAATCAAGTCCATGAAGATTTAATTTCGGCCTATTAGTGTGTCAGACAAAAAAGTCCTACATCAAAGAACTCACGTGAAATGAAACAGTTGATATATGGGAAGATTTTGAACTCCTACCCTTCGTGGGGGGAGGGGAGCCCGAAGCCAGCGCAGCCGCTGACTTATGCACTTTTTCTAATCAAGCCCTTGAACAATTAACTTGTCTAATTCAATCCTCAACCTTGCGTAAATTTTGTAATCAAACGCCCCCACGACACCAATTCTTGTCGGTTCCAGTTGACATGGCTGTTGGATTATGTCGAAGTATGACACGGAGAATAAATTTTCACCTCATGGACAAGCCATTGTGAAAAATTTTGCCTCCTTGCATTGACAAGCTACCACGGAAACTACACGATTGCCCAACGGGCACACCAGCTTGGATAAATTAGATCAATTGGTGCCGGAAGAACATGATTAGTGAATTTACGTAATTAAAAAGTTCAAAGACTTTATTGGAAAATGTGTGAGTTAAAAGTAAAATTGCAACGCATCTAGTTGCTCGTAACTAAAAGTGTATCTTTTATTGTCTTAAACGTAGGCTCTCTTCTTAGTGGAGATTGTTTTCGCGGAGCCGAGTGCTGCTGACCTGCTTGAACCACTGGCTTGCCGGATTGCAAGAGCTGTCACCGCTCAAGCACTTGCAGGCCTGGACCACCACGGTGTTGTCGGCACCCACGTCCAAGCAAACGGTGCTTCCATCTTTGGCCTTGGTCGAGAGGTGCATCATGGTGGCCGATAGCATCTCCCATATCATGCCGGGGTCCGTTGGGCACCTGCCTTTGCACTCGCACAGGCTCACCGGCTTCCCCACCTCGGCAGCTTGCAGGTACAGATGCGACCCCACGAGCCACAGCCCGCTCTGGGGCGTGTAGATCCACATTTCAGAGTTCGTGCATGGACCCAAAACGAGCGGCGACGACGGTGAATGCCTCAATATGCAGAGGCCGGACAAGGGGTGGAATATGGCCCTGTGTGAAACTGGTTGTTGCCCTCCTGGTCCTGCAACCGAAGAAGACTTTCAGAAACTAGAATAATGGCTCAATTTGTCGGACTTGACTGTAAGTGGATGCAAGCACTTGGTAGTTGAAGTACTTCATACCTTGGAAAGGTGATTGAATGGCCGATAATCTACGTAGGTAGCTCGGGTTTCGAATGCCGGACCAATTATAGTCCAACAATCCGTAGAACTCCTCCGTCCCTACCAGGCACTACCACTCCTTCCCTCAAGTAGTAACTCCCTTGCAGGCTCCACAATGCAAAGTCCCACTCGAGATCAGCGGCCACGGCCATGAAGCAATTGAAGTACCTGTTATCATTTACATTGGTTCCTCTTTCATCGATCCCGAACTCGCTCACGAACAATGGATATCCTTGTTCCAGCAAGAATACGGACCGACTCATTCGGTCCTTTAACACTGCTCCACACACATCATTCGGGTTTCCTGATTGCCATGCTTTGCCGTTGGAGAAACTGTGCCAGTGCATCTCGAAAACCAGTTTCTTCGCGAAAGAGACGCTGACCGGTCTGCTCCGGAGAAACAAAAGGTCTATCTCGTAATTGAGGGCGGAGAGGATGACGAGGACGTTAGGGTTTGCCGCGTGCACGGTTTCCGCACCTTGTTGCATAAACCTGGAACATAGGACCCCCATCGAGTCAAAACCGATGCAGTATTAGCAGTTGTTATTGTACGTCATAAGATTTATGAGCACATTGACTTCTTACCAACCAATGCCAATCCAATAGGTTTCTGAAAAATCACTTCCAATTTGAACATATAAATTACGAGTGATGCAACATACTTGTACCAATCATCCACATTTTGTTTACGACCGCGAAGCTCGTTCCTCGAGCTCATGCCAATCACATTGCTAAAACCGGTAGCCAACGTGGCCATCTTCTCCAAACCTTATATCCAAACTTGTGGGTCGTAGTACGTATCACCGAAAAAGCCGTTGCCATCGTTTGAACTGCAGCACCAACCGGACGTGGTTATATGATTGTTGAGTATCACCATCACATTGTTGTTTCTAAGGCTCGTTATCACGGACTGAAACAAGAGATTTCCGAAAAGGACATACATTAATACATAATGGCCTTGATAGTAATGAATGTAATTACTAGTAAAAAATCGACAATCCCTTCCCCGAATCCTAGTGCGATTATATTACTTATGATTAGACTTAAAAAGTTCTAGCGATTTTTGCTCATCTCGTATCATAGTAAAAATTTCATATCCATAGGACGCAAATTGATTAATGTGTTTGTCCTTACAATTAGAAGAGACAAAAACTAATGTTACCTTGTAGGCTTCCATTATAGGAAGATTAATAAGGGAAGGGTTGTTAGACTTAATGCCAACAAGAAATTTTGACAATCCGAGGTTCTGGAATGATTGGGTGCCAAGCGAATGCCTCATTCAAAGACAATTCGAGAGGCCATGTGAGCCTCACGCAATTGAAACCCATTTCTCTAATCTTCTTGGCAATCGTGTCGGCCGGTTGGCTGCTCAGCCCCTCGGCCAACGGCGGCTGAAGGTGCGCTGGCCAGTTCACGCATGCGAGCTTCACCCGTCTGCCGGTGCCGTCGACAATCCAATGGGAATCGGTGTAAAGTTGTTGAGTGACCACAAGCTTGGCCATGGAAAAGAAGAGCGTTGTCAAAATTGGGATAAGGAAATGCAGCTTCGGAAGTGTTCCCATGATTGGTCTTTGCTCTCCTTTAACCTTCCTTACAAGGGAAAAGAAAAGAGTGAGTAACGAGATTGATGTCAGTTCAATGTCACGGTGTACTTATATAGAGGGTGTTGGTGTCAGAATTGGGATAAGGAAATGCAGCTATGGAAGCATTCCCATGATTGGTTGTCACAGTAAAACAAAAAGGATTTGTCAAAATGAATCATAAATCAATTTTTTAATTTATATGTATTAATTATATTTAATAAATAAGTTTAGCATGATAAAATTTTGTTGACATCTAATTTTGCTGGTTTAATAGGTTGTCTTTTCCTTATGAAATACAAAAAACACAGAATAGGAAATAGTAATGGGGCTTTTCTAAAAAACAATTTAAAAAATATTAAAAAATATATTAAAATATTCGAGCCGATTCGACGTGGTCCGATTTGGTCCCTTCCTTTCTTCCCCTTTTTCCTTTTGCTTAGGCTCGGCCCCTTTTACTTCTTCTTTTCTTTCTTTCTTTTGTCCCCAGGCCCGACCATTCTTTCTTTCTCCGGCCCTCACTTCCTTCTCTCTCTCTCTCTCTCTCTCTCTCTCTCTCTCTCTCTCTCTCTCTCTCGTTCCCTCACGCTCTCTGCAAGATGAAGGACGAGCTACAGAGAGAGGGGCAAAATAGAGGTGGTAGAGTTGGTGGTCAGGACCAGGTCGGCAGCGAACAAGAGGCCATGCGCGCCTACCTGGGTGTTTAATAGAGAGAGAGAGAGTGAGCCGAGAGAGAGAGAGGGGGGGAACCGAGAACAAAAGGAACGGAGAGAGAGTCGAGAGATAGAAAGTGGCCCAGAGAGCAAGGAGCCCTCTAGCCAGCAATCAGATTTTAACCAAAACAATGTCATTTTAGCCACGTCAACGTCATATAGGAGAGAGAAAATAACAAGAAAGGCCACGTCGACATTTTCCGTTAGCCAAATTAGACGGAGTTAATGGAAAGACTTGATTACACTAATTTGATAAGTTTTAAAACTTAATTGCTCATTTTGAAAGTTTTAGGACTCAATTGCACTTGTATGACAAGTTTTAGGACTTCTAATGCACTTATCCCCCTTTTTTATAAAAAAAAAACCATTTACGAATAAATATTTATACATAAGACTTTTTGTCAAAATTTATCGCCGGAGGCACTTAAGTGATCTTTTTCCAATTTGGCCCTTAAGTGATTCGGCTAAAATTTGTAGCATCTAAGTGAGCGTCATACAAAATTATGGCATTTCTAGTGTTATTTTCCCGAACAAAAAGTATTGAAGGTCCATTCAAAGTACTTCTCACACTGTGTTTTACAAGAAAAATAACGTCTCGGCCCTTATTTGAGAAAGCAAAGTAAGGAAAACATTTTAAAAATAATGTAAGTGCTTAAGCAAGCAAAAAAGAACCTTTTACAACTCTAAAGTAATACGAGTAAAATATTACCTCCAGCTCAAAGATCTGATAACCTTACACATGCGGAGTGTTCTGCCCTGTTTAACTACATCAAAAGCTTGAAGCCACGAATAGCGAGGAAAAACACGAAAAATAGAATTAAAAGAAATAAAGAAAAGTGTGCTCTTTTGAATAAAGCGCGGAAGAAGAAGAGCAAAAAGAAGAAAAATTCATGGACCTATCAACTAACCTAATGGAATTGCACCTTATTGATAACTTTCCCACGGCGCTCATTTGAGTGCAATAATATTTCAATCGATCACTCAAATCCTATGACTTTAAAAAACATTCACTTGAGTTCCGTAATTTTTCAATTGGTCTCTTAAGTGTCATAACTTTTAAAAAACATTCACCACAAGCGATCGATTGAAAAGTTATGGCACTCAAGAAATTATGGGACTTGTGGTGAACGCTTTTTTTAAAGCTATGGGACATAAGTGATGGATTGAAAAGTAATGGTACTCAAGAAATTTCGTACGAAAATTCTTGAGTACTCAAGTGATTGATTGAAAAGTTATGGCACTCAAGTGATTATCGTATGACAAATGTGGTGTCATTTTCCCGATATTGGGTATATGTAGTTGGGATGATGTGAGTATGGGTATGGGTATTGATAGGTTTATAAACATTCATAATCTTATTCATTTACTTTTCTTATCAACCTCAACAACAACAACAACAACAAAAAAGACTATCTCAAGGTCACTTGAGATGGTATTTGAAATCATAAATAACCGTCGCATAAGGACCGCTATATTAAGTTTATGGAAAAGGGCTTTTAACATCACAATAAGACATTTTCTGGATAAGAGTATCATTATCAATGCAAAATTTCCGAGGCGTTCGGGTACGTAGCATGTATAGAGAGTGTGCAACAAAGGAACTGGACCCGAATTCGAGTGAGTTTTCCCATGTTTGAGTCGCTAAAGAACAAAAGCAATCGCGGAGACGAGGTATATCATTTACATACCATCTTCTTAAAATTTCAATAACAGATGCCCTTGAAGCATACCTTAAAGATCCAGCGGGGTCTCTATTTGTAAACTTAATCGAACTTACGAACGAGGTTAATTTTAGATAACTTATTTTGTTCACATCGCTTATTCGACTTAAGTTCACTTATTAGCATTAATGTATCCCTAAACAGGATAAAGTGGTTGGCACATAAGTATGGTCACGCTATCTGATGGGCAACTGTTGTTTGTCCGAGTGAAGACTCGTGCCTATGAAGCACTGAGGACAAACATACAATAAGTTCAATGTTGTCTCCTTCCATCATCCAGAAGAGAGCTGAACATCTCGCTCATATCTTCAGTTTTTTGGAGGAAAAACAATCAATCTGTAAATTGTTTAGAATACCCAATTTTCCGTCCTTCCTTCCTCACTTTTTTGCCGCGTAAAATGACGACATAGAACAGTATTATGCTTGTGACAGCCATTCAGAGCACCCTTGCATACACTCTACCATCTATCAGTGACATCTTGCTTAATGGATTAGCAATGATCAAAGGCGGAGATGGCGAGACTTGACAGAACGATTCAGAGGCAGACAATGAGGAAACGAGTCGAAGACAGTGAGTCTCAAGAAAGAAACACGACCTTGAGGTCACTTGGAAGATATCTGGGCATGCCTTTGATTCATGGTCGAATGACAAAAGTTAAGTATCAACCCACTGTCGACAAGGCTCAGAGTACGCTATCTGGGTCAAAAGAAGTGTCCCTAGCAAGACTAGCAACTTTAGCAGAGAACTCTTTGCTCTTGCTTCCGGTTTTTGCCTAGAAATCTCCTACGGTACCGCTTGAAGCTTGTAATGAGGTGGAGAAGCTAGGCAGAGGTTTTCTATGGGGCGATACAGAGGAGAAAAAGAAACTGCATGCAGTCCCCACTGGACAAAACCGTCTGTCAAGCCAACACTGACGGTTGATTGGGCTTTCAGGAAGGACATATTATTCAAGGCATTGCTAATGAAAATCGCATGGGGGCTTACCAGCATCCTAACAAATTGTGGGTAAGTTGTTTGGTGGCCAAACATGGGAGGAGTCGAAGACTGTTGGAAGCCAATTCAAACCGAACTGGGAGACTCGCCACTTTGGCACATATATGCATCTGGTCCCCTCCTTCCCACCCAAATTGAATAAGTAGCAAGTGCGTTAAATTGAACTTTATTCGGAGAACAAAAGTAAATGCGGCAAAACTTTAAACCTCTCTCAACAGAATAGAGTCAAGAGAAATAGAGTTTGGAATTTGGAAATGGACCTGAGAAGCAGTTTGACAGGGAAAAAACAATGAAAGAATGATGAACCAGCATCTTCATATTTACATCTGCCTCACTTGACTAATCCCGACATCGACATTCTCAATCACCAAGCACGAACTTGAAAATAATCAAACCTAGAGGACCTTCGATGAACCTAAGTAATGTATTGACGGTTCAAAATTTCTTCCTCATACTGGGAAATTCTCAGCAGTCCTTTCCCAATGAAGATGTCCCTTGGGCGATCTAGCATCTTCATATTAGGCGATTAGAATCATGGTCTAAAGCCACTTTTTGGGAAAAATATGTCAGGCCGCTACCTTCCCTTAGCGGCACATACTTGGAATAGAAAGTCTCGGCGACGCGGTGAAGCTAAGCGCATCAATAGAGCTTTATCCTGGTGTGAATAGAACTCCGGCAAATGGGGCACAGTTCAAGGCCATCACCGCACTCACAACAAGTCTGCAGAATCAAAGAAATGACAGTGATCATGTAAACTACTAACCATGTCCAACCGATGCCCGATAGGGCCAAGATGGAATTGAAAAGGGTTTCACTAAACTACCTGGTGACCGCAGCCGAAAGCCATGTCCTTTGGATTAGTAAAACAAATTGGACAAACCTGTGAAAGACGAAGAGAAAAGCAACCACCTCCATTCCATTTAGAGACGACAAGTGAAAGCAAGGCAAAACATTATCAAGTTACGTGCCATTGCCGGTTATATACTAATGACGACTATATGTTCTGATTTACCAGAAGCATTCCAGGTTTATCTTTGATATCAGCGAATTCAAATAAGGAAAAAAGGTTGCCTACCTGATTTTCATTCCGATAGCTGGAAGTAGGCACGCTAGGGGTCTGGGCATAGCCGCCGTAAGTAGTGTCTGGCTGAAAACTGCTTGAGTGGTGGTACATCTTCGACCTGCTCACCGGAGGTGTAACATAAGCAGGTGGACGAAGAGGTATTCTCTCCGGAGCGTCCATTCTTTGGCACCTGTCGTGCCAAAGCCCAAAAGGAAAGGGAAAATTATATTAGCTTGCACGGCAAAAAGAACAACATCACGGACAAAGATATAACTAGAAGTGAAACACATGGACAAAAAAATAAAAACATCACAGACAAAGATATAACTAGAAGTGAAACACATGGACAAAAAAATAAAACCGGTACCCTAGTAAGCCCAGCTCGAGAGTCGCCTTGTACTGAGAAGGTATCTCCATCAAGGCCGCTAGGGCAAACTCCGTCTGCTTTCTCCGTGAATCCACGTTCTTCGACATGATCTCAGTGAAGTTGACAAACTAGCAATAAATTAAGAAGTTTTTTTCCCGTGATAAGAATGAGTTGAATGTGTGGCAATAGCTTGAACAGGGCAGATATAAAAAGCTAATTCGCGATTAATGGCTCTCTACCTGGAAGTTATCAAAAGCACGTGCAGGAATGTTGTCGTCAAATTCCCTCATCATATCCCACGGGCCATCTCCAACCCCGACTAGAATTATAGATAAAGGGAACTCGCTGCAAAGGATGAGCAAGCGCACGCATATCACGTCCCAGAAGAGAGTTGATAAGTAGAGAGGATCGACGTATATGTAATCGAAGACAAGCTTAAGAGCAAAGAGTTTTTTTCTGTTTACCTTGCTCTAACTATTGCATCAACAGTCATTTGCTCTTGCGGACTCAGACGCCCATTCTGCGTGTCAACACTTCTCGTCACCTAGGCAACCATGCATAAAGGTTAGACCGAATGCAAGCAAGAAATCTTTAGGAATCTTAAGCGATAGCTTGATTGAAAAGTCTAAGCAGTATACTGTCACTATAATTCACATGATATATTCCTCAATAAACAGACAAAAAGCAGATCAATAGCCATATAATATAACCAAGCCAATACTTCCTTCCGTCTAATGTAATGTGGCTTAATTTGATCGAACCGCGAAAAGCAGACATTTCTATTGACCCTTACCTGCCCATCGGCGATTATCAGCAAGACGTGATACTGTCCGCCGCTTTGCTCAACAGTTGTCATGGCCATCTCGATAATGGGCGCGAAAGATGTGGGTCCTATAGCAAGAACAGAAATAGGAAAGCCATGAGCAAACTGGAGAGCAATTGACCAATATATAAGCGCATATAGGTTCTGTCATGGTAAACCAAAGAGCACCTGCGAGCTTAAGCTGGGGAACAATTTCTCTGTATCGTGTCAGAAGATCTTCGAATCCACTGCAATATCTATCATCTGGATAGAAACTGAAGACGTCTTGATCATGCGTCGATGCTGCGAGCATGGAAAACTAAGTCTCTCCGAAACATATTCAAGTACACACAGGAGACACTAAGCACAAGCCCAGAAAAAAATACCATCTCCGAATCCATAGCAGGGTATCAAGTTGTCCTCATCAAAAGCAGATAGTGTCTGTCCAATGATCATAATCGCCTGTTCATAGGGGTTTCTACCATCCCCAATATGGTGCAAGCTCCGTCGGTGGAACGACCTGGCACCTGATGTTCGAAAGAAGGGTTTTAGCCTATCAGATTCGAAACAGATTTAAAACTTCGAAAGAATTGAGCGGGAAAAAAGACCTGTCCACTCATTGCTCTTCGTGAAATCAATACCGACAATGAGATTAGAGGACTCGAGGCCAGCTTGGGCGAGGGCAGCAGTAACCTGTGATCAAACCATGATCAAATTAACATCAGGACTTCAGCGATTTGTAAAGCAAGGCATAGCTTGCACACGGAGTAATAAAGATTAACCAGCAGTCCGAATATTGGGTCCGAATGCTGCCACATGGATTACCCGCGAATATGAACTCCCAATTCCTCTCCACACAAGATATAAGAAAAACTATGATGGCTGGAGATAATTACGTATAGTTGGCAAGAAACCTCTCATCCTGTCCCGAGTTTGCAATCTCAAGTTCCTGAGCAAAGTATGGAAGCAGTCCACTAGCAATCCTGTAACCTAAGCCCCTCGCTAGCATAAAGATCTCGGAAAATATGACCTTTTTTCGAAGATTTATCTGCTATGGTTCGTCTATGGTACCCGGGGCGACTATGCTCTCGGTCTATCGGGCCTTTTTCGTCGCTAATCAAAGTTCATAGTTTCCTAAATTGCGAACGCCATAGTTCCCAACACGAATTTCATCGTGAGTTGTATGCATGTTCTGATTATTTAAGATACTTCGCATTTAATTACGACGAAAATAAACTGATTTGCAATGGCCAGCGTAGGGGCACCAAACAATCATTCACAAAAAAGAAACTTTGACAATTCACTCGACAATACAACGAGCTCACAAAACTTGTGCACAAACGTCCACAAAAACAGAGCTCCAAAAGACACGCACAAAACCCAGTTCAAAAGATAGAGAGAGCAACAGCGGTCTGATTTAGACTCTAACCTCGTCCAAGGAGCGATAATTATCGGCGATCCTCGAATACTTGCGGTCCAGCCTCTTCTTCATCGGCGGCTGCGGAGCCTGGGAACCATAACCATGACCGTACGAAGGCGCCGGGGACGGCGCGAAACGATGCTGAGGCGTGTAATACGAGCTCGGCTGGGCGTACGACGGCGGCGCTTGGGAATGCCCGTATTGACCCCACCCCGAGCTCGCCGACTCGCTGCTGCCACTGTATTGCCTGCTCATCTTCGATCCTTTGCTTCCCATCTCTACTTTGTCCTTGCACAGAATTCGAGCACAGAGACAGAGACAGAGAGCTCTATATATTACTGCTAATTCCAACTGAACGAGAAACGCCCAAGAAACTGTCCTGAGGAATCTGGCGTGCAAGAAATTTTTCAATTTTGACAGCAGAATACGAAGATTCAAAAGGCTTCGTTACCCAGAAAGCTTAAGGGAGAAAACAGGGGACGACGAAAATTTCCAGGAAAAAAATGGGTATCAAATTTGGAGCTATCAATATGAAAGCAACGATGACACGGGAAAGGTGCGAGAGAAAAACCAGCGGGTTCGGCGAGACCGAGACTGGTTCAAAATCAACGATGAACACGACAGGCACCGACTGCTGCGAGATCGTGGACGACGAAGAAGAGTAAACAGAAAACACGCCCCCTCTGTTCAAGAACCGGAGAAACAGAGACTTGGTGAATGTCAGACGGACAGAGAGAGAGCGAGAGAGAGAGAGAGAGAGAGAGAGGAACACGCTAGTGGGAAAGTTCAGACTCAGCAGATTCAAGAAAAGGAGGAGCAGAGAGAGCCACGCACGTAACCTGTTAAGGCTAAAGCGCAAAGGAAGCGGTTCGATGAACAGGGTATCTCAAAGTCAACTCCTACTCGTCCGAGTCGTCGTCTCCCCTAATCCAACTCGAAATTTACAAGATGGTTCTTCCTTATCAAGCAAATCACGTTTTGAATTGTGAAGCAGAAGATTAGATGACGATGATTATCATCATCATGGCGATATCCAGAGCTCTCTGCGGATTTCATGCAGCTTTGTTTATTGGGTTTTTCCCCCTGCCCTCCAGCGATGGTCCTCAAAACCAGGCGCCATTAATCATTATCTTCCTCGCTAATTAATCTTATCCTAATTAATTTATTTTTTATTATAGGACTTCGAATGAAATTCCAAGACAACTTCCCTAAAAGCATGTCCACGTTTTGAAAATTTTGCTATCCCACAAGACCCTCGATCTAAAAAGGATCGACGAGTCAATTCATAGATATCTCATGTATTTCAAATTGAAATTAGATTTCAATTCATCTTCTAGATAGCTTGAGCAGTTTTTTTTTTCGATTTCTTTTATTGAATTTTATCGAATGGTTTACAAGCGTGTGCCCGCGCCACGCATCTCTTAGTCTATATCTTGAGAGTCAATCTTAGACATACAGACTCTATCGACCATTTAAGGATGGATGTATACTTATAAAGATTAATTTGAGGTCCGGACTAATGTTGGCCTGCATCACCTAATGATTGATTATCAATCACGACCTGTTATTTGCATGTAGACCAAATCCTCATATGGGTACTCCGAATAACCACACGAGAGGACGATCATTCGATTGGGGGTATTGACTGATTCAACAAGTTGTCTCTTATTCGATACAAGATTTTCGTTGACATAGATAGTTATCTTTAGAAATTAATGTAAGAATTTCCTAATGTGGGCTTCATTAATTGAAATTAGTTGAATTAGTTTGGTCTAATAAAGGTAAGATATATGGGTTGGCTAGTGTTCTAACGAAGGGGATAGGGGAGAAGCACTCGAGTTCGTGTTCGAAAACTGTCGCAAATTCCGCGTCAAGTTCGATGGATTCTAAACCAGGTACGCGAATCGATAATTTCTCCATTATCGTGTTTCGATTTCTAATTATGGTGATCTTGGGCGTGCCATTTGCATGGCCTACAATTAAAATCTATCTAAATTAAACAGTGGCAAAAGCAGCTTATACAACAAATACCACGAGCATGCAGGAATTTTAGATTTAGCCCGATTGAGTGTATGCTTTAGTAAAAGCATATTTCTTTTCCCTATGTAACCTCCAAAAACTAATAGCTTCCATATGGACACGGATTTAGAAAAGTAAACTAGTTTTCGTTCACGCGCTATGCGATTGTGTTATTACTTTTTTATTAAGTTACACATAATTCCAAGTACTTCGACCAATTAGATTGTGCAACTGCCGTTGGACAAACGACATTCGCTTTGGAGCTGAATTACATTCCTTTGATCAGAGGTCTCTCCATGTAGTCATGGCCACAGGCCAGTTTTGACTCGGAACCGGCCCGATCAAACCCGGGCCCGGCCCATTGACCGGGCCCGCGGTTCGGAACCGAAACCGGCCCATGGCTTACGGGCCCGGTTCCGGTTCCAAATTATTTTTTTAAAAAAATAATAATGAATATTTAAAAAAAAATTATTATTTAATTTTTTTTTATAAAACAAATTGAACTCTAATTGCCATGTATTGTAAGTGCATTGATCTCCAATTACAATGCTTGGCTTGAGTGTATTGAACTCTAATTACAAAGCTTGGCTTTGGTTTTATAAACAACCCCTTTGATGGTCTCTTCATTCTCAATCGATGTGGGACTCTCGGCTTGCCTTAAACACATTCAATGTGAGACTCTTGGCTTGTCTTCATGCAAATGCCAAGAGTTTTTCATTTTGATTATAATTTATATTGAATAATTCATTATTTCATATTTTTATAATTCATTATTTTTTTATTTCATAATTTATTTTTAAAATTTTTAAATTACGAACCGGCCGGTTCCGGTTCGGACATGGCCATGAATCGGAACCGCCGGTTCCGAACCGTGGCCATAACTATCTCCATGTTCTGTTGTTATCTTGATTGGCACCAAAGTAAAGTTCTCATCAATTAACGAAATGACAGAGAAGGAGAAGGACAAGACACGTCTAGTACTCTTGCAATGACAAGTCTTGCTGACTCATCCTTTCAAAGGGACGGTTCCGGTTGAAGAAGATTCAACCGGGATCTGAAAGCAGATTTTGACCAAAGAGAAAAGCAGGAATTTTATTTCGCGAAAAAAAAGAATGATTTGAAGAAAGAAAAACAACACAAATGATATCTGAATTTCGATCTAATGTGTAATGTGATCCCTATTCTTAACTCAATATGCAATATCGTCCATGAACTTTAAATTTGTTCAATACAGTCTTTTGTTCAATTTAGTCCTTAAACTATATAAAAATATTCAATATTGTCCTTCCATTAATTAAAGTTCAGGAACAATATTAAACATTTTCATATAGTTCATGGACTAAATTGAATATTAACCAAAAGTTTAGGGGTCACATTGAACAAATTAAAAGTTCAGGGAACACATTACACATTGGGTCAAAATTCAAAGATCATTTGTATCATTATCCATTTGGAAAATATATGATAATCGCTTGAAATAATTATTTGATGAAACATATTTTCATTATGGACAACAATTTATGTGAAGACATTTTTGTGAATAACGAAAATATTTTTCGTTTGCTCATTTTTGTGTAATCAATACAAGCGATCGTTTATAAAAAGATATATTTCAAATAATTTATTTTTCGTGAGACAAACGAACCCCAAGTTAGATATAATGCACAAAAACAAGAATCAAAGGAAGAAGAAGAAGCAGCTGCTATGTTGTCGAGGAAGATAATCTCCATGCAAGAGAAGAGTGACGTACCAGGCAGTCATCCACTTAAGAGAACAGAGACTTTCGAACGTTTTCCACGATTGTTCCCCGCTCAAGTATGACTTTTACTTCAAGTTTTCCCCTCAATGATACAGAAGTTTGGAGATTTAGAGGTAACATTCGAGGATAGGAAAAACTGGGTCAAAGAGAGGTTTTCCCTTAATGTATAGGAGATGGATTGGGCGGTGCTTACCAAGAAAATAAGTTGGTGAAAGTCTTCTCAATCCCAAATTAGATAGAAAGGAATAATAATCTAAGTGGGTGAGATTCCAAAGTGATCTCTCCCTTGATAATAGTAATAGATAATATGCACAGCCTATGTACCCTAGTTAAATCCCTATTTTCAAATGTTAACCCCTATGATTTTAGACTAATTCCCTAGAAAAACCTTCAACTTTAAATCCAATCTTAATTTTGTCCATTATTTTTTTGTCTATAAAAAGTCTTATACTTTCATTCTAATTCCAAGTCTGCTCACGAGTCAGGTGTTGATGAAGACGCGGGTTTTGATAATGAAATTCAATCTGGCCCGATTTTGGTCATTTTGTAGAAGCTAATGACAATTTTAGGATGCTTGGACATATTTAGGATTAGAATAAAAGTTGGGATTTTCGTCTGTTTAAACAAAAGAAAGTTTGGGGCAAAATTGAAATCGGACATAAAGTGAGAGTTCTTTTAGGGTGTTAAACTAAAAAGCTTTTTCTCTTGGGTTAATATCATGAAAAACCCCAAATTTATGCACCTATGACAATTTTACCTAAAACTAATTTTTTGACAATCAAAAACCCCAAATTGATACATTTGTGATAAATTTACCCCAAACTAATATTTTGACTACTAAAAATCCCAAATTGGTACATTTGTGACAAATTTACCCTCCGTTAATTTTCGCTAAATTGGATTAATATTACAAAAAATTACAAACTAGTATGACTGTCACAAACGAAGGGTAAAACATAAAACTAGTACGTCAATCAACTGCTGCGTGTCATTTAACAAAGCAATTTGACAGTAAAATTTAACGGAAATAAACTAAGGGTAAATTTATTGTTGAATTTTAGACAATCACAAAAGAAATAACACACAAGAATTAACGAGATTCAGCAATAAGCTTACGTCCTTGGACAAATCTCTCATGGTGTTTCTCTCCTTTTTGTCGTGAGTTTTGCTTTGCCATTATTCTTTCTTTTTATACAGAATTAGGTTGCTACAACAAAGGTAACAAGCAACCTGAAATAGGAAAACACTCCTAAATAGGTAGTAAGATAAAAAATACAATATTGACAATATCTCTTTTCCTAGAATAAGAGATCCAATCCCGCAACACTCCCCCTCAAGTTAGAGGGGTGACATTGTCAAAGGTCAACTTGTTCACCATATCTTGGAATGCTCCTTTGGGAAGAGCTTTGGTGAAAATATCCGCAAGCCGATCTTCACTACGAATGTAAGGAGTCTCAATTGTCTTATCTTGAACCTTCTCCCTCACGAAGTGACAATCCACCTCTATGTGTTTAGTCCTCTCACGAAAAACAGGATTAGAGGCAATGTGTGTTGCTGCTTGGTTGTCACAAAACAACTTTGTAGCTTTAGTCGTAGTCTCACATCCCAATTCCTGAAGCAATAATCGCAGCCATACAATTTCAGATGTTGTGGTAGCCATGGCCCTGTACTCGACCTCTGCACTAGAAAGAGCAACAACATTTTGCTTTTTGCTTTTCCAAGTAAAAATATTTCCACCCACAAATGTGCTAAAACCTATAGTAGATTTCCTATCCACAGGATTTCCAGCCCAGTCTGCATCAGTATACCCAACAATCTCTGTGTGACCATTATTCTTCATCAATATTCCTCTTCCTGGTGAAGCTTTTAAGTACCGAAGCAGGTGGTTTATCAATTCCATATGCCCCTGTGTTGGATTCTGCATAAACTGACTCACATAACTGACAGAATAAGCAATATCAGGCCTAGTAATGGTTAAGTAAATTAGCCGTCCTACTAGTCGCTGAAATTGCCCAATATCCTGTAATGGCGTATTATTAGAAACAAACTTACTACTATAATCCATTGGTATATTGGCCGGTTTGACTCCAAGCTTGCCAGTTTCCTTTAGCAAGTCAAGAACATATTTTCTTTGCGATAAGAATATTCCTTTGTGAGAACTTGCCACTTCAATACCCAAGAAATACTTCAATTTGCCAAGATCTTTAATATCAAATTCCTTGCTCAAATGAAGTTTGAGTGTTTCAATTCCAGATGAGTTACTACCAGTAATAACAATGTCATCGACATAAACCAGAATGACAACAATACCTTGATTGTCGGCTTTAGTAAACATCGA